GATAGAATTTGAAACATTCTTTGTGATGATGAATGCCATGCCATTTCTCTTCAATTTGTCATTCCCAGCATAGTAGATCATATGGTTATATTTTAGTTGACCTGCACAGTGCTTTTAAAAATCTGTATGACTTTATGGAAGACATGATGTTCCCCTTCACCAAAGACTCAACCATTCCCTAATGTCATATATAGCCCAGATCACACAAAAAAGTACCCACCTTAAGTGGCCTTAAGTCATTTACATTTGACCTGCTCATTCAGACAAATAACATTCCATCAAGAAGGTGTTAAAAAAATAACAATATATAATTTGTTGACTAAACAGATCATATCAGTTCCAAGGTATATCACTGGCATACCTCCCAGAAGCAGTGAAATAACTTCATGGTTTAATTAGTTACAGGACATGAATTTTTCTAATAACAAGACATATGATCAGTGCTACAAAAATAAAATATGAAATACACTCGCCTTTCAAACCAACCAAAATTACATTCTCAATCTATTTTCCTTTTGTCAGAAAGCATATGTGTTAGTGATCTATAATCAATGCCATAGTCTTCAGAGAAACTACAGCAGAGTTTAATTGTAGATTTCTAGGCATGTCCTTAATACTAAAAGCAGCCATGGCAGCAAAATTAACTCAGGGCTCAAAGTGTCTAAAATGGTTTCATGACACTAATGTTGAAACAAGCCATATGCATGATATGCATGAAAATTACATATCCATGTTTATGAAATACTCCAAACACATTTGACAGGTTTAAGAATAAGCATATAGGTCATTTCCTTTCAATAGCTACTATCACTCAGATCCTGTTCTTTTGATACACTATTTTTTTTATTGCATGAACTCCCGCTGAACTCAAAAGCATATCACAAGAAAACTGAATGGTCAAACTTATGACTTCAATATTTCATCCTCAAATCTATGGATTTAGATATAAGTAGCCAGATTGGGAGGGCACAGAATACCTTGTAGTAATAACTTTTGAATGTTCTTTTATCCTCCAATCCTAGTATTAGATGCATGATCCAATGTAATATTTTAAAAAAAAGCTCTCACTGCTGTCGAGTTGGATACGACTCATAGAGACCCCTCCTTGGGTTTCCGAGGCAGTATCACTACAGAAGTAGATTGCCCAATCTTCCTTGTGAGGAGTGGGTGGTGGGTTTGAACTGCCAGCCTTCTGGTTAGCAGTCAAGTGCCTTAGGCACTAATTATAAAAGGAAATATAAAATTGTATTCTATGCATTGCCTCTCTGTCTTAGACTCTTTAAGATTTGGGTTACCTCCAAGTGTCAGTTAAAATAAACATATTATCTGCCTGTCACTTCAGCAAGGTGGCCTCAAAGGTCCTGAAATATGAGTCTAAATAGAAATCTTTTCTTTCTTCCTATCTGAATATTGTTCCTCTCATTATAAGTTGAAGATAATTTATTAAGTTTTTAAAGTATTAATTACATGGTCATCCTTGAGACTTCAGAATATAAAAAATTTTAAAAAGTAAATACAACCTATAATTCTATCTCCCAGATGAAGCCATTGTGTGTGTCTTCTGGAACTTGATATATAGGCAGGTTGATATGTGTCAACATATAGTGTTTTATACACACACACACACACACATACACATACACATAATATTTTTGCAAAAAAAAAAGGGGGGGATTATACTGTGCATGGTATTTTGTAATCTCATTTTTCTCTTAACCAATATATCATGAGCATCTTCAACATCAATAAATATACACTCAATTTTAATGACTGCATGATGTTCCACAGCATGTATATGTCATAGTTATTAACCAAACTACTCATGGCTGTGTATTTGAGCTATGTCTAATTTCTACTGTTATAATTGATGGAGCAATAAATATTACTTTAAATACATATTCATATATTTATCCACTTATTTTCTTTATGTAAATTCCTGAAAGTGGGATATTTGAGTAAAAAGTATATACATATTTTGAGATTTTGAACTATATAGTTAGGTTCCCCTCTAAAAAGTTTCTACCAATTTGTACTGCTAACAACAGTATATAAGAATTCACAATTCTCCACATTCCTCCCACATGACAATTAACTCATCTACTTAGTCAACCAAATTTAACTGGCTAAAATCTTGAGATAGTAACTTTATTTTCCCACTTCTTTTCTAGCCAGTACCACTGCCATAGGTGACCCTCTTTATTTAGTCAGCAATACGCGTTGCCTTGGGGGAATCTAACAGAGCCAAATTGGGGCAGGAGGAGGGTCAAATTTTTGCTTTTTGAATGCCAAAGTAGATTCTTGAAAGTCAGAGTATCACCATCATTCTGAATGCCAGCAACCTAGAATTTCATTAAATGAGCCTTTTGAGACGAAAGAAAAGAGTTTCTTGAAGTCACAAAAGACTAATCCTTAAAGCAATCAGGGCAAAATGTTACATAAGCAACAGATTAAAAAGAAATGACCTATTTTCTCCATCTCCCATTCCAGGGACTTTGAAGAGGAAAGGGCTTAGCTGCCAGTGAATTCCTAAAAGGAGCTGCCTCACACTCTACCTATTATTAGAGAATAAGTGTGGGTAATAGTATGCTCAGATAGTTTGGGGGAATATGAGTGTGGAGGGGTGCTTACTTCCCATTGAAGTGTGCTGATGTGGGAGTAATAGAGAAACAGGATTTCAGGAACAGAGAGGACCATGTGAAAATCCAAGTCTTCTCAGGCCCAGAGAGGAGGAAAAGAGCAACCAAACATTGTATGTTTCCCTAGGAGGGTGTAGAAGTCAGTCAAGAGGGAGAGGGAAAGCCAGCAACCCAAGGAGACCAGAGACCAGACAGGGACACAGAAGTGGGAAGTTTCAAATGCCTGCAGAGGAAATGCTGCTGATCAGTGACAGATGAGGCAATTGTGCATCCCAGACTCAAACTAAATTTAACCGAAAACATGAGTTTAATTGTTCTGTTTTCAGGCAGAAAAGGGGTTCAAGTTCATTTTAGAAAATTTAACAAGTTTGTGTTCTTGCATGCCAAAGTGTATTCTGGATTGTAGACTTCATACCTGCTACATAAGCTAGAAATGACAAAACGTCCTTTCACTTGTCTCCTTCATGCCAAATCAGGTTCTGAGTCATATCCTTTCCATCTCTACACTAGCTGTCAATTTCATCCCACTCTTTTCTTCCCACTGTCACAGACCTGCTGTCTAAATTCAACTCTCATTATCTTTAAACTTGGCTATTCCAACAGCCTCCTGATGCATCTCCCTATACCATTCATTTATTTCCTCATCCAAACATACTCCATCCACCCTGCCTCTAGAGTATTATTTCTAAAATGCAAAAAATGAGCATGCCACTCTTCTACTTGGAAGCTATCCATATTTATCCAGTACTGTCAGGATAAAGTCTAATCATATGTGGTTGTCAATCAATCCGTCTCTAATGCCATCTGAAAGAGACACCCTCACCCTTAACTTTATCATACACTGCAGCTACAACTTAGAATATCATTCCTGGAATAGAACATGGTTTTCGTTTTTATTTTTTCAGGTTGTATGCCTTTGTATTGCTGTTTGAGTCAACCTGCAATATCCTTATCCAGGGTAACCAGTTGAGGAGGAGGATCCATAAAGATTGTAACAGTGGCCAGCATGTTATTTTCAATATTTTAAGAAATTTAATAAAAAACACAGATTTTCCTATGTTATGAATGCAGACTCACTAAAGCTGTTTTTGTTTTTATGTTACATTGGAGACCATTAAATCAACCTGGTATGGAAAATTGCTATATTATGCTGGTTAGAAGCTATGACTAGAGACTGTATATGTCTTTGCCAAATAAAAATTGGAAAATCTAGTTAATTATTAATATGATGTTCTTTTCATTTCCATAATTTTAATGACGGGCTCCATAGGGCCTTTTGAGTAAATGTTAATAAAAGTAATCCTTGTTGGAAAGATTAGGAACAATGATTGAAAGAAGAAGGGAAGAGGAATTGGAAGAAATAATGGAAAAAGAAGGAAGGTTGGAGAATGCTCATTGAACAGCTATAAATATTAAAGTTACACCATTTAACCCTCAAAATAAAATAATCTCTATGGAAAATATTTTAATCTCCATCTTACAGATAAGGAAAACAAGCAGAGAGGGGTTAAAGAAGTCATTCAGTCAGCCAGTGCACATGGAGCTGGAATTTGAACTCAGATCCAATGGATACAGAATCTACTTCCATAAGGTCACAGCTGTGATAATCCTATGGAGTGTACTTCTGCTCTGACACACATGGGTCACCATGAGTTGGAATCCACTCAAAGGCAACTGGCTTATTTTCTGTTTTTATATTTACATGTATTGTTATTTACACAGTATGTAGCAGTACTATGCAACTGTTATGCACGTTTCACATTGTTTCTCATAAGCATTATAAACTCATACACATTATATATCTGGAGTCAACAGTAACACCGTCAAACTATCCACTTTGTGCAATGCTAAAAGATGATTTCAAATTTCATACTACCTACTTTGTATTTTCCAAACTTATCTGATCATAAGCTTCATCTAGAATATTCCCAGACCTCATTCCTTGGCGAGTCTTAAATTTTAAGTCAGAGTGAAGCTAAGTAATCAGTAGTTTTTACAAGTGGCTTCAGTGACACTGATCACTGTACAGGAATTAGCAGATACTCACCAATGTATAATTTTAAAGGATAACAACATAAATGAGTTGAAATATTTTTTCTAAAAATACTTGAGAAGTGCTGAAGACCTAGAGACGGTGGGTATTCAAACTTACATTTTTTTTTTAACCAAATGAGTGAGAGTTTAGGAAACATAAAGAAACAGCTGTATACTAACTAAGCTAGGACCAGAGGATACGATAGACTACCTTTCCACCCTCTCAGCCCTTTGATCTTCCCTTTTCCTTCTTCCTGTCCTCTTTTTTCTGCTTCCTTTCCTCTCTTTTCTCCTTCGTTTCATCTCTTTTCTCGTTCCTTTATCACTTACCTGAGTTCTTCCCTGACTTCCACTATGGTGTTCCCTGATATTACAAACACTTCATTCATGTCATCAGTCAGCATGTTGCAGGCATAACCAATGTTGATGGCAGTTTCTGATTTAAAAAAAAGCACAAGCACAAATTATTTAGAATATTACTAATAACATAAATGACTTTTCTATAAGTTTCAAAGCAATACTTGTAGTTCCTCATAGCTTGTAGATCTCCTTAATGCCAAACAGAGTATGATGGGTGATAAAATGAAAAAGATCCAAAGGAAAATTCAAAGACCTTGGTTCCATAATCAAGTTCACCACTTACTGAAGTAGCAGCATTTATGGATCTAACTTTCTCATCGACTTTCAAAAAATTCTTTTGATTTCCTAAATAGTACTCATGAAAATACCTTAAGATTTTGTAATATAGTCAAATGTACTAATACAAAATATTTTACCAAATGTTTCAAATATTGCCTTTGGAGACCTAAAATAATAAACTAGCTAATATTCAGTTCTGATATAGTAGGCAAATTAAAGAAAAATCTCACAAAATATTCAAGTGAATAATATAAATGTCCCTGTAAAATTCTTATCATTTCCTGAATGCAACATTGCCATTAAATTAGTTGAAATTTGGAATTTGAATGTCTCAACAATCAGGATTGCTGATACTAGAGAACTGGAGAATTGCATGGTGGTAGACAGTTCCTCCTCTAATTTTATAGAAATGAAGCCTAGGATTTTTAGACCACTTCCATTTTCAATAGTCATTGGGTTCTATGTAACTCTGTAGAGCCACTGGACTCTAATTAATCTACACAGTCATTGGATATGTCTTAAATCAAGGAAGGCAATTGATAAAAGCTCACCATATCCTTTGAATAAAGGATCAAATCAAAGTCAAATAATAGTAAACTTATGGATATTCATAACTAATTGAACTAGTGTCCCCAAAGATCAATATCAAATTCTAGGAAGTTTCTATCTAGTAACATACTATTGGGCTCAACTCTCCACTGTTTATTTTTTGTAATCAGTAATTTGGATGGAGATATAGAGAACTAACTTAACACACTTAAATACTCAATGCTCTTTTAAAAACACCTAAGAGGTAGATAGAATCTTAAAAGAATGTGTGTGCCAGTTAATTGAATATTTTCAGCTTACTGATAGTCAAGCATAAAATTGTTTTGGGTTTCATAAGTACTGGTAGCAACAGATTCAAAATGTATTGATTCTCTTTTTCCATTTTAGGAAACACCATATTCTGACCATAATAATTCTTTCTCTGATGACTTAAGTGTTTTTGTCATGACTGGAAGTGGATCTGTTCTCATTGTTTGTATGAGCAGTGCTGGAATTCAGCTAGTTTGCATTGGGACAGCTTTAATGGTTGTTAAAATATCAAAATATTTCCATACCAGTTGATAAACAGCTGCTTCTCCAAGCTTCCCCAAGGTCTTCCCACCACTTTGGCCCCTCCTCCAAAATCCCCCAAACCTCCCTACCATCTAGAAAGTAAGGGAGTTACCACGAGGTCTCCTGGGTCCTGCTTCAGTGCTGTGCCAACATCTGTCCTCACTAGAGGTCAATACTCTTAAAGACCAGTTGTTAAAGAATTTAATACCATTGTTGTCTATAGGTGGAACTATTACAATTAAGAGACACAGGCAATCAGGCTGAAAGTCAACTGACCCCAAAGTGTAATGTTGGAAGTATTTTGTCAGTTTGTCTTAGTTTTCTTTTGTTTTGCAATAACAAATTATTATATTATATTAGCTTTCATTTTTTGTATCTCAACTTTTTCCTATGTGGCACATTGAACAAATATTCAATTAATTTAAGCTTTCTGGTTAATTATAATTTTTACCATAAAAGTTATCTTCCTCTTTTCAAAACATCATCAAAATTCATTTTCAAATTACCTTGCTTGTCTCCTGTTAAGACCCAAATCTTAATATTGGCTAGTGATAAACTTGTAACTGTTTCAATAACACCCTCTTGTAATTTATCCTCTACAGCAGTGGCACCTAGTAGCTTCATCGAAAAATAGAGAAGACAGTATGTTAATGCACACAAGCAACATTCATTACATATATGGCTTTTAATCACAGAATCTGGAAATCAAGGAACATGAAATGAAGACAGAAATGATAATGCATTGATGTAGTAGTCATCCCACTATGTGCAACAATGTTCTGGAGAGGATCCCAAGAGGAAGTTTCCAAATCAAATTAATTAATGGGTACACTGCTTAATGACAGAGATCCTAGAAGTAAGAATTTATGTGATGGGGTATAATTTGCTCAGACAGCACGTTAGTTTGAAGGGTCAGAAGCCATTTGGGCCTCTAGGGACTTAAGAACACCCCAGATGCTACCCCACATATATCACCTATGGCAATCCAAAGGAAAGCTTTCACCCCATATCAAGAGGCTGATCACAAAAAAAGGTAGAGCCATTCCCCAAACCAGCAGATGCCATAAACTAAAAAGTAAAGGCCCCCATGCTCTGATTTATCCAAAGATGAACACACAAGGCATCCTCCCTTGTACGGCTGAGGAACCTGGACACTGGCACATCATAGAAGAGTGGTTTCTAGAATAAACCACATAGCTATCAGCAGAATCTTCTGTGTGTAGGATGGTTTGGAGCCAGAGCACACTCTTCATGGCAATTCTCCTTCAGTGAAAAAGTGAGTCACAAAGCAGAAAGAGAAAATAAAACATCAAGGACATACTAGAGGTTGACAAAGAATAGGGAGTCTACTATTTTGTCCTTCCAATTGACTTCCAATTTCGTAAGTCATCACTAGTAGAAATAAACTTCTAAGCCCTCTAAGGCCACATATGGCAAATTTAAAGCCAATGTACAAAGCATGAGTCAATGTTTGAAAGAGCAACATCTGCTGTGTGCAAGATGATTTAGCCAATAGCTTATTTCAACAACTTATTTCTATGCTAGATCTCTAAACATATACTATCCATTTCTAAACACAAACCATCATGTTTCTAAATTCATACCATCAAATCTCTTTCAATTTCTTCATACAGCCCAGCTATCCGTTCATCTCGCTCATCCATGGCAGCATTTGCATCTTCAAGCATTTTGTACCACTCTTTAAAATACTTGTCATCCAGATCTCTGTAGGCAATGGCCAGTGTTCGGAGGCCTTCCCCAGCAAATTCCTGACAGAGGAGACAAAATTACTAACAGTCAAAAAAACATAATCACAGCAATAACAACAACAGCAAGTTCTTCATTCAAATGTTTGATCATACAGATCTCCAATCATTTAGCTCCTTGGAAACGGGAGATAATGTTTGGATTTTATGTTCTATTTCTATGGGTTATAAAATGTTCAAGGGAGCTAGGCTCCTCACTAAAGACAGTTGAAACATCCTAATTAAGAGGTGATCAACGATGCCCATGCCTTGAGATATCATTTGAAGCAACATATATTAGGTTCCAAACTACTTTTGGCTAAAGAAAGCTCTCTGGGCCAAGACAGGGATAAATGTTCAGAGGGGCCATAACTCTCAAATCAGAAAAAAAAAAAAAAAAAAAAAAGCAGCAGGCTCTCTCAAGGGCATGACATCTCACCAAAGTCTTGTCACATTCCCCTACTAACATAGTTATATAGAAAATTAATTAAGTCTTAACTATGTGACTGGCACTGTTCTAAGCACTGTTGTTCTTAGGTGCTGTCAAGTCATTTCCGATTCATAGAGACCCCATGCACAGCAAAACGAAACACTACCCGATTCCGCGCCAGCTCCATGATCCCTGCTATACTTGATCCCATCATCGCAGCCACTGTGTCAATCTATCTCGTTGAAGGCCTTCCCCTCTTTCGTTGACCCTCCACCCTACCAAGCATGACATCCCTCTCCAGGGCACGGTCCCTTCTGACAACATGACCAAAGTAGGTCAGCCACAGGGATCCAGGTGAGAGAGGGAACCCAGGTATGCCCAAAGCCTCAGGGCAGGAGAGAGGGAGAAAGGGGATTAAAAGCCCAGGAACCAGGACAGAGGAGGAGTCAGCCACAGGGACTCAGGTAAGGGTAGTAGGAGAGGTTTCCAACACGGAGACAAACTTGTCTGTCAGTTTGTCCTACCGTGGTGATGTGTTGATGTGAGTTTTGAGCCTGAGCCACTGGTGTTTCAAACCCAGTGGGATGCACATGGTGCACAGGTATCAGCCCAGCTTATAGACTGAGACAGACTAGGAAGAAGGAAGAGGCCATCCACTTCTCAAAGAATCAGCCAGGGAAAACCTTATGAATAGTTCTAAGCACTACTGCTTGTGAATTTACCACACTGATTTATCATTTGCCACAAATATATTATCTTTATTATTTTAATTTATGGATGATATAGTTGATGGATAGAGAGTTTAAGGAACTTGTATGAGGTTACCCATCTAGCAAGTTGCAAAGGTGAGATTCAAGTTCAGGTCTTGACTACTAAGTCTGAGCTCTTAACGTAGATTCTGAGCCACAGCTCTTCTCCAGGAAATGTCATGGCATCAGGGAGGAAGGAAAGACCACTAATACCACAAAGACTATTGTGCTCATAAAAATCCTGAAAATTCTGTACCTACTGGCACATGTGTTAAAACACACAATCTTAGCCTCCTGAAATCCAGCTTATTAAATGTCATGATCTCATTAGGAATCCCTGAATCACATTCTAAAAGTGATTTACCATTTCTCACCTTGAACTCCTATGCCATATTTTAATGACTCCCCTGTGGCACTTGTTACATTCAGCTTTGTTTTTATACGTATTTGTATAGTTGTATCATTATCCCTGCTAGATTGTGAACATTTAAGGGCAAGGATTGTGAGTTCCCATCCATGAATCCAATAACAAATATAGAAAGAGCACACATTTCTAAAAAGAAAAATTCATTTCTACTGCATAATGACATTCCTAGTTTAAAACCTAAATGAATATTCTTCTGGAATCAGACCACAATATAAATTGCCATGTTAGTGCTAAGCTTTCTTGAAAAATTATCTAAAAACAACATTTTTATTTGTATAACCTTTACATTATATTTCAAAATACTTTTATACTCACTATTTTATTTCACAACTGTGGTAGAAGATAGGTAAGGTGAGTTAAAGAAGACAATGAAAGCATTTCTCAAAAGCAAAATAGTTTGTCCAGGGTCACATACAAATAGAATAGAATAAATACACATTTTTCTTTACTCTTGGGTTAGGGCCTTTTCACAAAACCCTGATATCTCCTTAGCTATAGATTCCTGAGATTGTCACTGAAAGTACCATACCCTGGGCAGTATAGTACTTTATTCATTCTGTGGCCTGACATAACCCTGTTCAGTACAGGAGGCTGAGAGTATTCAGGAACCTAGTAGCAGATTTTGGCAACTGGAGAGAAGATAATACCTGGTGAAATACATGTCTCACCCAGAATGCTTAAATCTACACTAAAGTGGATAATAGTCTGATTTAACTCTTTAAGTAATGAGTACCTAATAGGCATTTGGTAACTCAAAAGTCATATGGTTTTGTCCTCTGGCTTCTTTTACTCAACATTATGTTTGTGATATTCATCTGTTTTTGCATATAGCTATAATTCATTCATTTTCATTGTTGTATAGTATTCCACTGTGTGGATAATACCATGATTTCTACTCATGATGGACATTTGGATAATTTCTTTTTTAGGGTCTATTATGAATATTTCTATGAATATTATTATACTTACATTATTATTATTATAATTTTTTGTGAATCTATACAGACACCCCAGACATTTTCTTGAAGTATAAACCTAGCAGTGGCATTACTGGAGTCACAAGATACCAGTATATTCATCTAAAATAGATATTAAACAGATAATCATTCAGAGTGGTTGTATCAACTTGTATTTCCTCCAACAGTATATGAGAGCATTGGCTGGGTCATGGGAGCTCTGGTGGCATAGTGCCTAAGGCATTTGACTGCTAGCCAGCAGGCTGGTGGTTCAAACCCACTAGCCACTCCTCAGAAGGAAGGTTGGGCAATCTACTTCCATAGTGATGCCGCCTCGGAAACCCAAGAAGGGTCGCTGTGCATTGGATCCCGACTCCATGCGAGTGCATTGCATTTTTTGCGTTGGCTGTGTCATATCCTCACCAAAATTCAGTATTTTCTGTCTGTAGTATACAGTTTCATTTAGTGGTGTGCTGGTAAATCTGCTCTAGGGGGTGGGAGGGAACCCTGTTTTGTAGCATTTGTCAGTTTCCACAGTGCAAATACTCCCTATATGACCAATTTCAAACTACCAATAGTCTAAGAAATGATTCACAAAATTCTTGAATCTTTAAAAAATGGTTCTTATGACCTGTATGTATAGTAGCTCTGGTGGCATAGTGCCCAAGGCATTTGACTGCTAACCAGAAGGTTAGCAGTTCAAAACCACCAGCTGCTCCTTGGAAGGAAGGTTGGGCAATCTGCTTCTGCAGTGATACCGCCTGAGAAACCCAAGGAGGGGTTGCTATGAGTTAGATCTGACTCCACAGCAGTACGTTTGGTTTGGTTTTTATGACCTGTATGAGCCACCTCAAGCATACTAATTATTCCATTTATAAATAGTTTAAAAACAGGCAAAATCGATCTAAGGTGTTAGAAGTCAGGGTAAAAGTTACCTTTGTGGGGGAGGGGAGTGGCAAGAAAGGGGCACAAGAGGAACTCAGACATTCTGGAATATTCTATCTCTTGATCATAGTGCTGGCTTACAAGTTGTTGTTGTTGTTATTATGTGCCGTCGAGTCGGCCCCGACTCATAGCGACCCCTCCTTGGGTTTCCAAGGCAGTATCACTACGGAAGTAGGATTGCCCAACCTTCCTTCTGAGGACTGGCTTACAAGGGTATATTTATTTTCTGTAGCTTCATCAAGCTGTGCACTTTTGATTTCTGTATATGTTATACTTCAATAAAGATATCTAAAAGTTACATAGTGCCCCAAACAGCTTTGTACCAAGTAAGCAAATCTTAGCATAAAAGAGAAAATGTTAGAGATGGACTATGATGTGTTCAAACTCCTGTATGTGGATGGAAGAAAAGGAAACTTCAAAGCACTTACTTCTACTAGCAAAATGGAGAATTTTCTCCATTTGGGGCCAATATATTTTTAATTTTCAATTTTTAACAAAAATTTCACTGGGCCATCTAGATTTAAACCAGTAAACTGAGCACATACATCTCCTTCTACTTCCCAAAGTTCCGTGAAATTAGAGAATAGATTTTAAGAATGAAAAGTTCTAGAAAAGATGAAAATTAGAAAATGATACAAAGTTAGATTGACAGAGACAATAGAGCAGGGAAACTTGCAACCCAAAATTCCAGAGAAGAGTCATCTTCTGTGGGAGCACTGGATAAGGTCCAAGCTTAGAAGTAACAAATACGAATACCTGGAGTTGCCCCAGGAAAAAGCTAAAGATAATTAATTAAATAAGTAAACTTGGTACATTTGGGCCTGTCACACCCATCCCAACTCTCTCTACCCCTTTTTCAAACATTCAGAGCAAAAAAGCAAAGAGATGGAAAATAGGAGAAAAATTAAGTAACATGATGGATCAATCCTGGAAATCAATGATCCATCTAATAGGAATTCCAGAAACAGAGAGAAGAGACAATGTAAGACATAAAACAATTTAAGAGACAATAGCATTTTTCCCTGTGTTGAAGACGCATGTCTTCTTATCAAAAAGATCCACAGAGTGCTGGAAAGGATGAATTCCTACACCTCCATAATTCTTGGTAAATGTTCAGCATCCCAAGGATAAAGAAATGAAAATACTTAAAAAATTCCATACAGAACATGGATTACCTACAAAGGAATGTGATTCAAACTGACATCAGATTTCTCATCGGCATCTCTCAATGCTTCGAAGGCAAATAAATGAGCAGTAACTTTTCTAAGACATAATGTTTAATCCCATGAATTCTATACCCAGTCAGAATACTAAGCAAATGCCAAATCAAAACAGGAACATCGTTGGATTTGCAATGACTGAGAAAATTACCGCCTATAGATCATCCTTGGAAGAATTACTCAAGGATTTACCAGACCAAAATGGAAAAAGAATATATAATAGCACATAAGATAAGATAAAACTAGCAGTAGTTGCTGAGTATCACTTATTTAAAGAAGTTAAAAATAAGGTAGAAAAGAACCCATTGGCCATGACATATGGAACAGTTTCCTAAAGATTAAGCAACAGAATTATATTTCCTCCTTTGTGGATTCAATCTTGTCATTGTTCTTCAGTGAAGAATATTGACACAGTCACAATTCTATGAATGCTATTATTACATTGGAATTAACATGTGAACAAAGTACAGTAGACTTGATTTTAATACAGAATAGAATGTAAGTTTTATAAGACTTAACAAAGTAAAAATATGTGGTGGTTAAGTTTGTGTGTTAACTTGGCTGGGCTTGGTTGAGTGGCTAGGCAGCTAGATGTAGTTATTTCCCATGGTGAGACTGGTAATTAACTCCATGGTGCAATCTATTGGAGCAGCCTAGTAGCTGCTTTGGGTATGTGGTGTGCTGCACATACATAAGAAACAGCTTTGGGAATGGTCTCTAGCTGATGGCATACTTAAACCCTGCATGTAGCCATGTTGTTGTTCATCAGCCTGCCATGTTCTGCCAACCTTGGGACTTTCAAGTTAATGGTCTGCCATGTGATTTGGTAACATCGGGACAGTGCCTTTTTACTTGTCAACCTTGGGCTTGTTAGTCTCAGCAGCCAGCAGCTGTCTGAGTAAAAGAAATCCTCCGGCTTCAATGGATCAGGAGTAGGAGGCAGAGCTGAAGGCCAAGGTTTAGGGACTTTCACCCAGCCCCTGGAGCCTGGCCCTTTGAACTCAGACTGAAAACCTCCATAATATAAGAGAATAAACTCTTTCTTTTTCAAACCATCCCATTTGTGGTATATTCCTGTCAGAGTGGCACTAGATAACCAAAACAGAATATAATAATAAAAAAGTAGGAAGTGTAGGGAGTGACAAATTGAAGTGTCATTGTGGTAATTTCATATACTTCAAAGTGTTAAGCCAACAAATATTAACTCAATTTCATAAATCACAGAAGTATTTACAAGTGAACTAAAATTATGCCCAGAATTTTCTTTAAAATAATTCAGTAAAAAAAATCAATTCTAGATTGGGTTAGATAAAACAGAATTGACAAAATGTTAACAATTATTGATGTTTGGTGGTATGTATATGTCCTTTTATATATTGAAAATTTCTATTAAGAAGTTAAAATTAAATAATAATTGAATAAATTAATGTTATTCAGTTTAAAGAAATGTAAGCATATTACTAATAATTATAACAATAACTTAAGGGGAAAAAGGAGAGACAGAAAGAGAAGCTAATATAAGTGGTTGACTCTGAGCGGCAAGGCTAGAAGGAGAGATTGGTTTTTACTTTTCCTTCTAGACCCTTCTTTAAAAATTTCTTAATTTTTGCCATACAAAAATTTATTTTAATGATAAAAAGTCATTTGAAACTATGTTTTATGGAATTAGTATTTAATAATTGGTCAAGGTATTGGGAACCATACATCTTTGTTGTTGTTGTTGTGCACCATCAAGCTGATTCTGACTCATAATGACCCTATAGAACAGAGTAGAACAGCTTCCTAAGGTTTCCTAGGCTGTAATCTATATGAGAGCAGATCACCAGGTCTTTCCTCCTGAGGAGTGGCTGGTGGCTCGAACTGCCAACCTTTCAGTTGCAGTCAAGCACTTAACCATTGCAACACCAAGTCTCTTTACTTCTCCTTTAGTGTCTGAATAAACTGACAATCTTAAAAAATACATCTGGTGCTTTATCCTTCTAATAGGGAAAAAAGTAAACTAGTAGTTGCTAAATCTCTCACATACCCATAATCGCTAAAACATGTGTAGATTATCTGAGGAAAATACTAAAACCTTTCACTTTGCCTGTGCCTCCAGTGGTTATTTTATAGGCCTCTACACTCCAAGTGTTTTACCCATTTCTGCTCTTTTGGACATTGCCTTTGATCATGTCTCTTCTTGTTGCATTTTCTGTCTCATGGCACAGATATAGATTTGCAATCAGGTACAAGTTAAAGCATGACACATCTTAATTTGGTAAACAGAAAGAAAATTCAATGCACATTACAATGATATGGGTTAGCCCAGAGAGACCATAAGAAAAATTACCCAAAATTCTCTGTTAGGCAGTTGGTAGCACATTGGATATTGCAATCATATTTTACAAGCCCTGCCTTCCCAAACCACTACTGGGTCCCCTACTGATTCGAAAATCTAGTTACTGACTTGTAACAATCTTTTGTTCTCTTAATTCACACAAACACTTCTTTGCCTTTAACTCGAAGCCCCACTGGGCATTACCAGTTGCTTCTTCTCTGTTCTGCACAACAGTGAATTAACTCAAGAGGACATTACCAAAGGGGACAGATGATTTAAATCATTTAATTACTGCATGTAACACAAGTTTAATCCTAAATGAGCATTTGAATAAAGTCTTCTCCTATATAAAACCATTCAAAATTGATAATCAGATATGAAAACCTCAGAATCTAGAGACCAAAAATAATAAAATGAATAAAGCAAAGGGCGAGGCAAATTGATATTCCTTGAGAAAAAAAAAAAAATCTTTTACATAAAAAGACTAAAATTAGGTTTCCTATAACTTAAGATGGGAGCTCTGGTAGCATAGTGGCTACAGACACTTGCCTGCTAACCAGACGGCTGGCGGTTCAAACCC